AAGTAAAAGAAAGTTACCATCAGAAAGTGTGTGTTTTCTTATTTCCCCTCAGATAGAAATGTCTAGCTCTTGCTGAATTAATTCATGGTTTTTTGCATGCCCTGGTCCTGACTGGAGGCTGGCCCTCCAGGTTAGCAATATTTTCTACTATCCAGTGTCTTTCCTCAGCTCTCATTCTTTTCTCACTAGCATTTAAAAAAATTAAAGTTAATAAAGCATTGTGCAGTCTCTCTGGGGGTCTTTATGAAGCATATCTTTTAGAGTATGATTAGATCTCTCTATAACTGCTTGTCCTGTAGGATTGTGTGGTATACCTGCAATACACTTTATGTTGTAATATGCAAAAAACTGTTCCTTTTTACTGGAGACATACGCTGCATCATTCTCAGGCTTAATTTATACAATTATCCTCATGATGGCCATAACTTCTAATAAATGTGTAATCAGCCTTTTCAAAACTCAGAGAAGTTGCCCGTTAAAATCCTGAATATGGTGTACATATTTTAATTTTCCAAACTCTGCAAAATAAAACACATCTATTCATCAAATTTCATTTCTTTGAGTACCCTTTGGATTACTTCCTGTGGGTAGTGGAGTTTGGTTATACAAAGAACAAGTAGGATGCGGTGTGGCAGTGGCCCAGAGGAGGGGGTCCATTGGAAGCCCGAAACTCACAGGGAGAAGGAGCCAGCCATCTGAAAAGCGGACACAGGGGACTGTGTGGAAAAAACATGTGTGTCGGGAGCTGCCTGAATGCAGAGCTGGCCAATCATGGGTGGCTAATGCTGTTTGGAGCCCAGGCACCTGTGGAGTTTGGGCGGCAGCTGGAGACTGTTGTAGGGTGGCTGAAACAGGAAAATCCCAGACTTGCAAGGGCCTGGGGCAAGAAAGGAAAAGCCAGCTGTGGTGGCTATGGCCCTTACAGCTCTGGCTGCTGCAAAGCCAGGGCTGAGAGGTTATCTCAGTAGGGGATGATCGTCTAGAGAAGGTTGGCTTGTGGGCACGTCCTGAGGGGAGGTTATCTCAGTTGTGTTGAGATTGAAAGACCTGCCCACTAAGGGCAGCATCATTCCGTAGATGGGATCCCGAGCTGTGTAAGAGTAGATGATGTGAACTGAACACAGGTGTGCATTAGTGCATTGTTGTTGACCGTGATGCGGTGTGACCGCACCTCAGTGATGGAGTGTGCCCTGAAACTGTGCGCTAAACAAACCCTTGCTTCCCCAAACTGCTTTTGTTGAGATGCTTTATCAGCAACAGAAAAGACACCGAGGCAAGCGGCTTGTGCCTTGGCTTGTTGAGTCGCCTCGCTGGCCTCTCTTTTTCTCCTTCCTTCCTTCCTTCCTTCCTTCCTTCCTTCCTTCCTTCCTTCCTTCCTTCCTTCTTTCTTTCTTTCTTTCTTTCTTTCTTTCATTCATATTTCATCAGGGTCTCACTATGCAACTGAGGCTGAAAAACTCCTACCTCTGCCTCCTAATCCAGGTATCCATACCCAGCTTATAAAATGACATCTTTTTACCCATCACCAAACAACACCCCAAAGGGGTGGGAAAGAGAGGGATGAAAGAATAGGTACAATACCATCAGTTGGCAGGGAATATAAGTTAACACCACAATGACACCCACTTATCCATTCATTAAAATGTTTCCTACATGCTGGGCAGTGATGGCACATGCCTTTAATCCCCAGCACTCGGGAGGCAGAGCCAGAAGGATCTCTGTGAGTTCCAGGCCAGCCTGGTCTACAGAGCGAGATCCAAGACAAGCACCAAAACTACACAGAGAAACCCTGTCTTGAAAAACCAAATAAAATAAAATGCTTCCTACAAAATGAAAAAAGTTGCTAAGGATACAAACCACTGGAACCCTCAAACCTCATTGGTTGGAGTATAAACTAGTACAACCATTTGGGACAGATGTTTGTTGTAGTTACTTAGATAAATATTATGCCCACTTTATGCCCAGAAATCCCCATTCCCTGGGCATTTACCCAACAGAAGTGAGTTACACAAAAACATGCATTCACTGGGCAGTGGTGGATCGCTGTGAGTTCGAGGCCAGTCTGGAGTACCAAGTAAGTTCTGGGACAGCCAGGGCTGTTACACAGAGAAACTGTGTCTAAACCAAACCAAACCATGTCTTCAGGAGTATTCACAGGGGCCAGTGAGATGGGAAGAGGTTGGAAGCACTTGCCAAGTAAGCTTGCAGACTTGAGTTTGATCCCTAGAATCCACAGTGGAAAGAGAGAGCTGAATCCCAGAAGTTATCCTCTGACTTTCACATGCACACTGTGGCATGTACCCATATGTTTTCATACACTTCACACACACACACACACACACACACACACACACACACACAATCAAATCAATAAAGTTACAAAAAAAAAAAAACCCAGCTATTCACAGTGTTCCCAAACTATAACTTCATCCAAATGCTCATTACTAGGGAAATAATAAAAATAAAGATAGGTGTGATTACCTTAGGTTCAAGGTCAGCTCCAGCTATACAAGACTTTGTCTCATAAAAACACCCACCACAGCACCCACAGAAGGGACAGAGAAGTGAAATGTGAGCAATCCATGCAAAGACCTACACACTTGGTGAGCACACCATGGATGGATCCACGAAACCGTGTGTGAGCTAGAGGAGACAGACACAAAGGAGATGTTGTTATGTTACACCCTGTGGGCTTCAAACATAGACAAAGCTGGTCTGTGTCAGGATGGTGTTCACTGGAGGGGGAGGCTGCAGGCTGACAGGAAGGGACCTTTGGGGGCTGGTCCGATAGGGGTGTACATGAAATGTGGAACTAAATGATTATGACTTGTGACCATTTTGCGAGCCTTATTTGAAGCGGCATATATGATGCAGAATTATTATGCATTTGTTGATGGGGAAAGGGCCATCAGTACTTCTCAATAGGTAAAGGCATCTCTGTCATATCTGAGTCCCTGCTTCAGTCCGTGAGACTCAGGGTGGAAGGAGAGAACCGACCTCCACGTGTGGACAGTGGGGAACGTGCACACACACGAATAAATACATGTCATTTATTTTTTTTAAAAGAGGCGTGTTTGTTTGTTTGTTTGAGACAGGATCTCTCTATGTAGTCCTGATTGTCCTGGAGCTTTCGAAGTAGACCAGGTTGGCCTCAGAATCATAGACATCCTCCTGCCTCTGCCTCCCTAGTGCCAGGATTATAAAGGTGTGCACCACACCCAGCTGCATATGTTTTTGAAAGTTATATTTTAGCTGGGCAGTGGCGGTAGCATATGGCTTTAATCCCAGCACTCAGGAGGTAGAGGCAGGTGGATCTCTGTGAGTTCAAGGACAGCCTGATCTACAGAGTGAGTTCCAGGAAGGTCAAGGTTGTTAACACAGAGAAACCTGTCTCCCACCCCCACCCCCCAAAAAAAATGTGGCTGGAGAGATGGCTCAGTGGTTAAGAGTACTCACTGACTGCTCTTTCAGAGGACCCAAGTTTGACGCCCAGCATTCACATTGAGTCACTCATAACTGCCTGTAACTCCAGCTCCAGGGGATTTGCCTCGGGTACCAGTACTCACGTGCATATACCCACACACAGATATCACATAGTAAAAATAATAAATTTTAGAAAGAAAAGCTGTAATATATGTGATGTGTGTGTGTGTGAGTGTGTTATATGTTTGAAATCCGTAAGAAGTGGGCCACTCAGGAATTAAGCCGACTGTGGAAGTCCCAGTCTCCAGTTCTCTGCCAACCACGTTTCTCTCCAGACTGTACATGACCCCAAACAGCCAGCCCTGATGAAGTCAAGGCAAAGCAAGGGTCCCTTAATTCCCGGTGTACGTGCTCTTTGTCCCTCTGTTCTATTTAGACCCAAGACTAATATTTACCTTGTAAACAGGAAATGGGGGAGGGTGAGAAGCAGGTCCAGAGCAGCTGTTCCAATCAGAAACCTCCAGAGGCTGGCCCAGTGCAGACAGGTTGGGAGGGAAGGGGCTGTGTCTGGGAGAGTCGTGGGCCAGCGCCTGTTCTGGGGCAGGAGATGGGAGAAGACAGCCAGAGGCCACAGGACTTGGCTCCTCCCTTAGAGAAGAGGAGTCACCCCCCACCCCCCACCCCTGCTGAGAGCTGCCCTGTCTCATGGTTACCCCAGCTCAATGAGGGCAGCTTTCACCTGGGCACACCCATCTCTATTCCTTAGGTCTGTGCACACGTGTGCAAGTCTGTAGGCGCTCTGCATTGATAGCCTCCCCCAGTTCTCACAGCAAAGTGTTATGCCCAGTGCACAGATGAAAGAGCTGTGGTCAGTGGAAATGGAGAGTTCTGGAAGGACTCACTGATCCACATTCACTCACTTAACAAATGGTGGAAGAGGTTGGATGACGGTCTTTTCAATACGATTTTCTCACGAAGAACATCCGTCCCTGGCTCTGGGAGAACTTGTCCTCTTGGATGGCGGGGGTGGACCCTAGGACTATCTACCCATTTGTCCCCAAGGCCCTGACCCCCTGACCTCTCCCTTGCCACTGATTTCTTCACGTTGGTTCAACATTAACCCAGAGAGAGTCAGGACAATCTCTCAGATCCCAGCAGCGGACGCACTATGTTGTACGTCCGAGGCCTGGGGCTGCCTGGCTGCCTGGCTCTGGCTGCCCTGGTTGGCCTGGTACACAGCCAGCATGGTAAGGGGCGCTTGGGGCATGATGGAAGGTGTGGGATAGGCCTGTGGGTTGGGGTGTCCTGGCTAAGACCAAAGAACACAGGGACAATTCCCAGTTGGACCTCAGACCCCAGTGTCCAGATTGAAGAAGGAGTCAGGTGCATGGGGCAGGAGGCGGGTGCCTCTTTTCTCTTCCAGAATGGCGAGTGGGCTGGGACAACCCACAAAAAGTGGGTAACAGGCTATGTTCAGTGGCCTTCTGGGTACTTCTGCAACCCCTGTGTCCCGTCATGGAAGCCAGCTGGGTAGGCCAGGCTTGCTTCCCTAATGGCTAGCCCTTAACAGCTAAGATGGGCAGGGTCTCCAGAGGCGAAGATAGGCAGGGTTTCCAGAGGCGATTTTCTATTGCTCCCCCCTGCCCCCCCCCCGCAGTGTTCCTGGCCCCCCAGCACGCGCTGTCGCTGCTCCAGCGGGTGCGGAGAGCCAACAGTGGCCTACTGGAGGAGCTAAGGAAGGGCAACCTGGAGCGAGAGTGCGTGGAGGAGCAGTGCAGCTATGAGGAGGCCTTCGAGGCCCTGGAGTCTATCAGTGACACGGTGAGCCGGACCGGCTGCTGGGAGGACGGGCAGGGGGGTGAGGAAAAGGCCCGGGCTCCCTCAGCAGAGGCATGCTGGGACCCGGTGACGCAAGCAGGGGACTCGGTCTGGCTCTTCCCCTGTTCACACTTTCACTTCCATTCTGACCCCCAATCTCACTGGGCTGCAAGATGGGGGCCCCAAATCTGTCTTGGCGACTGGAGGCCTGGGCTGTCACAGGGAGGCGCGTGACACCAGAGGACCTCTCCAGTTTCAGCAGTCGGCTATTCTGGGGCTGTCTGGGTTGCCTGGTGCCTGCTTAAGCCTTTCTGCCATTTCTGGGTTCCCTTGTGGTGCACCCACTGGTCCTGGGGCTCTGCGGCAGCCCATTTCTTCGAGGCCGCTCTTCTCCTGTCTTCTTCAGCCTGGAGGAGACCTCCTTGTTCAGTCATGTGTGCTGGGGGACTCTCTCTCTCTTCACATTCTCTCCTCCTGGAGGTCCAAGTGGGGAGCTAAAGGCAGGCGTGAGGGAAGGATGGGATGCCTGCTGAGGGGCAGAGCTCCGTCCTGCTGGCTCTCACCACAGCCCTTGCTTTGTAGGACGTGTTCTGGGCCAAGTACAGAGGTGAGTGGCCAATGGGGTTTGCCCCCCGGAAGGGAGGGTGGGGGACTCTAGCTAGAGACTACCCTTTCCTCCAGAATTTCCTGCTGCATAACATACCCATGCACCCACGCTCTCCCCTCCCCCTCCCCCTGTTATCCCTGCTTCCACCATCATCCCCACAGCAGCATCAAAGGTGTTTCTGATTTTTTTTTTCCATCTGATTTGTTTTTCCCCAGCTTGTGATTCGGTGAGAAAAACTCGAGACACTTTCATGGAGTGTATGGAAGGTGAGGGGCAGACTTGGGGTGAGCGGGTGGTGGAGAAGCCTGGGAGAAGGAAAATTAGTGGCTGGTCAGGAGCCATGGTTGAAGTGGTGTCTCCAGCGCCTGACATTGCCTCTTTGTTCCGTGGTCAAGGCCGTCTTTGCATGTGGCTTTGTGCCTGGCAGTCAGCCGGACTGTTGGAGGGACGAATGGATAATTAATTAGTCTTGGGGGCCGAGCTCTTAACCCCTGACTGACTAGGCCTCTGCCCACCCTTTGTCAGAGCTCTATCTTGTTAATTCATTCTCCAAAACTTTGTTTTGTTTTTGAGACAGGGGCTCCGGTAGCCCAGGGTGGCTTTGAACTTGCTAGATGCTGAGGATGACCCTGAACTCCTGATCCTCCTGCTTCCACCTCCCCGTGCTGGGGTTACAGGCGTGTGCCACTATGGCCGGCTTTCATTCTCCAGTACTTCCAATGATTCCCTATTACCCACAGGAAAGCCCTGACTTACTCTTCTAGATTCCCAAACCTTCTTTCTGCTCTGATAGCGAGTTGGTCAGGGTCAGTGAACATGTCAAGATGTCTCAGCCCTTGCCTACTTTGTTAGTTTCCGCTGGAGGAGCCAACACTCCCCACTGAAGACCTGGAGACCTGGTCCTTCAGGGACTTCTCAGCGCCCTCTGGGAGCAGCCTCCCTCCACAGCATTCTGAATAATGTGTCTTTAGTCTAACAACAGGCTCCACTATCGACAGGAAACTTTTTTTTTTTTTTGGTTTTTCGAGACAGGGTTTCTCTGTGTAGCTTTGCGCCTTTTCCTGGAACTCACTCTGCAGCCCATGCTGGCCTCGAACTCACAAAGATCCACCTGCCTCTGCCTCCCAAGTGCTGGGATTAAAGGTGTGTGCCACCACTGCCCGGCAGACAGGAAACTTCTTATTTACCACAGTTTCCTTCCTTCTTTCCTACCTTCTGTCCTTCCTTCCTTGAGTCAAGGTCTCATGTGGCCTAGCTGGCTTTGAACTCCTGAACCTTCCCACCCCATGTTGCCTTGGTTATCTTGAAATTCACTCTGTAGACCAGACTGGCCTGGAACTCACAGAGCTCTGCCTGCCTTTGCCTCCTGAGTGCTGGGATTCTTGAATGCCATCTGCCACCACATCTGTCTTTTTATTTTAATATGTGTAGACGTTTGCCTGCATGTACATCTGTATACCACCTATATGTTCCTGGTACCTGCGGAGGATAGAAGAGGGCATTAGGTCACCTGGAACGAGACTTAAAGACTTTGTGAGCCACCATGTGGGTGCTAGGAATTGAACCCAGGTCCTCTGGAAGAGCAGCCAGTGCTCTTAACCTCTGAGCCATCTCTCCAGCCCTCATACTTTCATTACTTAGTAAAAAAAAATAAAAAATAAATTATACTAAGCCTTTGGTGTGTGCCAGGCACTGTGGCACTGTGCTGGTGTTGGATGCTGGGGATTTCTTTTTGTAGGTAGCATCTAAGTGCAGAGGAACCGGCCTTGAACTCGCAATCTTGTACTTCAGCTGGCCGAGTCCTAGGGTCATAGGGAGGTGCCATATACAGGTGCTTGGGACTTTAAGAGCATGGACTAGTTCTGGGCTTTACTCACAGTCTCAGGATAGCAGAAATACCAAACCTCGAGGGACTCTTGGAAAAGCCAGGAGAGAGCAGAGGGATGGTTGCCTTGTCAGCAGAATCAGAGATGGCGTCCCACAAGAGCTATGTACCCGGCCTTGTGGGATAAGTTGGTGAACGAATCTGAGAGAATTCTAAGCGTGGAAACTGTGTGCAAAGGCTAAGTCACAGGAACAGGGAGACTGGTCCAGGTGAGAACTGGGCCTGTCACCTGGTTGGCACGTGGCTGTGTGGCGTGGACAGACCTACCGCAAAGGAGCCAGAGGCAGGCAGGTTGCAGACGGTGGACCAGAGAGAGCCTGCAGCAGGGAGATAGCATGTGAACAGAAGATCTGGGAAGAGGCCTCCGAGGCCGGTGCAGACGCGGGTGTGTATCTCCGTAGGTCGTTGTGCTATGGATCTGGGTACCAACTACGTTGGGACCGTGAGCGTCACCCACTCCGGTATCGAGTGCCAATTATGGCGGAGCCGCTATCCACACAAGCCTGAGTGAGTGCTGGGCAGGCCTGTCGACCAGCAGGCCAGGAGGGGGAGCAAAGACACTCAGGAGGCACAAGGTCCCTGAGCACCCTTCTCTTCCAGCATCAACTCCACCACCCACCCTGGGGCCTACCTGGAGGAGAATTTCTGCCGCAATCCAGATAGCAGCACCAAGGGACCCTGGTGCTACACCACAGACCCCACCGTGCGAAGAGAAGAATGCAGTGTTCCCGTCTGTGGTGAGCTGGGGCCCGGAAGCAGTTCATGGCCAAGGCCCAGGGGTCTTCAGAAGGCCTGGTCATCTTAAATGGGCATCACGATGCTGGCCACCTTCAGAGCAAGGGGGAGGAGCCACAAATCGAATGGGCCTGTTGGCCAGGGCACTGGGAGACCCGGGCAGGCTGCCTGTCACCTCCTTCCCAGTCTCGGTTCCTCATGCTCCAGGCTGTGGTTCATTTCAAACAACTTTGTGTCCTGCCAAGGCGCTCTTCCTCCAGGAAGTCCTCCTGGATGACTTCAGTCACATGCCTTTTCCAAACACCACAGAACAAGCACATGGGGTTCTCCCTGGGTCACTGTTGAGATAAGTTCCCATTACCTAGCCCCACAATAATGCTGCAGAACCAACACCCTTCCCTGAGGGGCAGGCCACAGCAAGTGCTTATTTCTTACACCATGGAGGCATGGCTAGGATGCTCTGAGCTGCACTCGCTGGGTGTGTGACTGGGCTGGGGGGACAGGGTTCCATCCATGTATGCTGGGCCGGCCTGAGTGGGTGTGCTCGGAATGATGGGTCCAGCCGAACCCAATTGCTTGCAGTTGCTTGAGGAAGTTCCTCCTGCCCATGACGACGTCAGAAGTGTAGAACAATGAACAGCAGTGCTGTTTGGAGGCCTGTTCAGAGCCGGCAGCCAGGCCTGCCCACGTGCCCTTGGGAGGACTGGCGTGCCCACGGACCATCGGTCATACGTACCATACGACCAAGGCCAAAGTCAGGAAGTGAAGCGCTGTCCGGCAGAAAACCACAGAGTCAAGAATAGGGAAATAGGCAGGGTGGTGAATTCATACCATGGGTTGGGGATGTGGTTTGGTGGTTGGGAGTTTGGCTCGGATGCACAAGGCCCTAGGTTCAAAACTCCTACCCCCCAAAAAAAACAAGGGCTGGCTTGGCAGCGCAGACCCATGATCCCAACCCCTGGAGATGCTGAGGCAAAAGGACCAAAGGATGGAAAGTTCA